ATCTTTTGTTCAATATTGCTTATCAAAATATTCACCCTTTTCGAGATATAAAGCGTCAAAGATTTGACATTCTGGCCCCTTGTGACCCCTAATTACGTAACATATGATCAAAATTGTATCATATATTGTTGCAAATAGTTAAGATAAATACTTTTGCTTCAGTAATGTATAACAAAATATTGTTCATTAGAGAGTTATAGATAAAAGACTTTCGGCCTCTCTGAGCCCCTAATTTTAGGGGTCAGCCCCATTTTTTTGACATCAAATGAAAGGCCTTGTGATTTTGCACATTTTTTCTTCAATATGCTTTAACAAATTATGAACGCGTATGAAGATATGAAACAAAATGTGTCAAATTTTGTGAGATATTTCTGAGACATTTTTTCGGGCCCTACCGAGCTCCGGCGCCTTTTGCGCTAGAAAGATTTGGAGACCCAATTACAACTCACCAAACCTTCCTTTACTTTCACTGAAAATCTTAAGTCGATATCTTTAGTCGTTTCGGAGGAGTTTCCTGGACAAGCCGACCCTCTGAAAATCAGAAAATCGACCATATCTCACGACCGGAAGTGAGATCATCAAAAAGCAAAAAAACCTATCAAGATCAATTGAATATCTTTCAGATCTGAAAGTTTGGTATAAATCGGACGAGCCATCTCTGAGAAATCGCTTGCACAAAATCGGTTGGAAGAAAAATAATAATAATAATAATAGGGAAAAAGAAACCGAACGAAAACAATAAGGTCTTCCGTTGGAAACGGAAGACCTTAACTAGATACGATCTCGTTGCTAGCAACGAGAGGTCTTCCGTCCGATTCAGGAAAAAAAATCTCGTATAATCGAGCTGAAAAGTGATTCAAAATTTTGGTCGCAAAGAGGATTGAACCCATGTCGCCTTTTTCTGTTTTATCCCCAACGCGCAAACCATAAAGCTTTTGGGAGTACTGCTCTAAATATACTTGTGTGTATACTTTTGCAACAGTACACCTGTCTAAGAATCATAAAAGGCGGGTCACTATCAATAATTTGCGCCAAACGCCACGAGTAAATATTCGTGCATTTTCATACATTTTATTTGCTAAAAACTCGACTCTGCAGAACCAGAGAAGGTTTTCTACAGGTCCATTCCCCATCATGGGGATGACCTTACTTGCACATTGGCACCATGTGTATTATCGGCGCAGCCTATTTATGAGAAAATGAAATGAATATTTTTTAGTGTTTAAGAAAACGTTGAACCTACGCTTGCGAAAGTTCTAAGACATTCAAAGATATTTAATTTCTTCTTTATCAAATCAAGAAACTGATTATACGTTAAATCAGCAAATAGGGGCCTTTACTTATGCCATGAATATCACAGAAAAAGATTCAAAATTTTGGTCGCAAAGAGGATTGAACCCATGTCGCCTTTTTCTGTTTTATCCCCAACGCGCAAACCATAAAGCTTTTGGGAGTACTGCTCTAAATATACTTGTGTGTATACTTTTGCAACAGTACACCTGTCTAAGAATCATAAAAGGCGGGTCACTATTAATAATTTGCGCCAAACGCCAGGAGTAAATATTCGCGCATTTTCTTTGAACTTATCTATTAAATTGGTGTGATAGCTGCAATGAAATAAAATAAATAAAACGTTCTTATTGCCTTTATTTTATTTCGACGTTTAAAAGTCTTTGTACACATTACATATATCGTATCTAGCCCAGTTACACTTAAGTAGTGAAACGGAAATTAAGTGTTAAGATCGACACTGAATTGCAACGTACTACTACGTGAAAGTCCAAGTAGTTTTGTTTACATTTCATGCTTTCGTATGTCAGAATGGTTTAATCAAACGCTCAGCTGCCTCCATAAACCCCAATTGCGAAATGGCGGAATTGACAAAGACAGCCGCCATCTGGGGCCCGCTTCAGATTTTCAAATATTAATATCTAGAATTCAGATAAGCCAATTTTCAAACAACTTAGATAGTTATAATCTAATTGTTAAGATGAATACTTTTGATCAATAATGTATAACAAAGAATTGATCATTAGAGAGTTATAGATAAAAGACTTTTGGCCCCTCTTTGCCCCTAATTTGAAGGGTCAGCCCTATTTTTTTTATATCAAATGAAAGGTCTTGCGATATTGAACATTTTGTCTTCAATATGTTTTAACAAATTATGAACAGGAGTGAAGATATGAGACAAAATGCGTCAAATTTTGTGAGATATTTCTGAGACATTTTTTCGGCCCTACCGAACTTCGGTGCCTTTTGCGCTAGAAAGATTTGGAGACCCAATTACAACTCACCAAACCTTCCTCTTTTTTCCCTAAAAATCTCAAGTCCATATCTTAAGTCGTTTCGGAGGAGTTTCCCGGACAAGCCGACCCTCTGAAAATCAGAAAATCGTCCATATCTCACGACCGGAAGTGAGATAATCAAAAAGGAAAAAAACCTATCAAGATCAATTGAATATCTTTCAGATCTGAAAGTTTGGTAGAAATCGGACGAGCCATCTCTGAGAAATCGCTTGCACAAAATCGGTTGGAAGAATAATAATAATAATAGGGAAAAAGAAACCGAACGAAAACAAGAAGGTCTTCCGTTGGAGACGGAAGACCTTAATAATGGACTTCTACAAGAAGGTATGGTCACCATGCACATGCATACATGTGAGTTAAGTGCGCTGCAATCTGATTGGCTGAAACTTTAAACAGTTATAACTCCCTTGGTTTTCAACCAAACGGGATGGGATTTGGCACATAGATCGATTTAATGAACTTCTACAAGAAGGTATGGTCATCATGCTCAAGTATGCACGTGCGTGCACGTGAAATGGGTAAAATCAAAAATACACTTGAAAGAGCGAATTTTTTAATACTTTTGGATTAAATACTTTAATATTTAGTATATTAAGATATATAGATTATTTTGACAAGATGATATGGTCATTACGTACATGCATTCACATGCGCACACATGCAATGCTAAAATTTGAATGAGCATGGTACATTTCTGGGTAAACGTTGTTAAAGTCTCAAATGCATAGAGTTTGTGTTATTTAATGAAGCTTACAGGGAATTTGGCACCAAAAGGGAGTTGGGGAGCGTTTGGGGAACATCTGTAACGGTCCCCGTTACAATTAGCACTAGTTATTCTTATTATTATTATTTTTCTTCCTGGGAAAATTTTGTACGCGAGTGATCTTGTAAACTACACATCCGACTTAGGTGAAACCTTTTTAGGGTAAGTAGGCATGTTATGTAGATTTGCGGAATCAAGGTCATTTTGCCCGCACGTGCTTGCAAGAGCGCGCACGTGCAAAACTTAAAATGACCAATATATAATGGATATAACCGTAACTTTTCTATTTTGTTACGAAATGTTTTAAAACTTATAATGTAAGGATATATTAGTAGTATGCACAAGATGAAATGGTCAAAATAGCAAGATCGCACGCGCATGCACGTGCGCTTTGCTCTGATTGGCTGAAACTAAAGTCTCAATATCTTTTTTGTTTTTTGATAAAATCATTTGAAATTTTGAACATAGTCATACATTAGGAAGGTCTACAGCCTGTAATATAAGATTTATCATGAAAGCATGTGCATGCACATGTGCTTGCAAGAGCTCGCACGTGCAATACGAGAAATGTCCAATATAATTGATACAGACGTAGCTATTTAAATTATTGATGAAATTCTTTGAAACTCATATTATAAGTATATATTAGAAGCATAGACAAAATGACATGGTCAAAAAAGTAAGATCTCACGCGCATGCACGTGCGCTTCGCTCTGATTGGCTGAAACTAAAGTCTCAATATCTTTCTTGTTTCTTGTCATAATCCTTTGAAATTTTGAACATAGAACTACATTATGAAGATCTACAGCATGATCTATAAGAATTTTCATGAAAGCATGCGCATGCCCGCGTGCTGTAATCTGATTGGCTGAAACTTTAAATGGCTATATCTCCTTTGTTTTTTGACGAAATGCTTTGAAATTTAAAACATAGTCATGCATTACGATATCCTACAATATGATCTAGAAAAAAAAATCATGAAATCACGCGCATGCACGTGTGCTGCAATCTGATTGGCTTAAAATTGAAATGGCTATAACTCCCTTGTTTTCCAACCAAACAGGATGGGATTTAGAATATAGATGGATATAAGGGACTCCTACAGGAAGGTATGGTCATCATGCACGTGCATGCACGTGCATGCACGTGCACGCACGTGCGTGCATTTGGAACGAGTGAAATGAAAAATACACTTGAAAGAGTGATTTTTCATACTTTTGGACTGAATGCTTTAATATATTGTATATTAAAATATGTAGATAGTGTAGACAAGATGATATGATCATAACGCACATGCATTCACATGCGCACGTGTGCAATGTTTAAATTCGAATATAATTGGTATCCTTTCTGAGAAAACGTTGTTAAAGTCAAAAATGCACAGAGTTTGTCTTATTTAATGAAGCTTACAGGGAATATGGCACCAAAAAGGATTTGGGGAGCGTTTGGGGAACATCTGTAACGGTTCCCGTTACAAATAGCACTTGTTCATCATGCTATGGTCACCCAAGACATATGTTTTAAGTTTTAATGTCTCATTTGAAGGATCCAAAGACACTTTAAGTTAACTTTTGGCCGTTCTGGTGCCGAGCGCTTGGTGAAGGAACATTTGTTTCAAATGTTTACGCTTTAGTTCTGACGATGCGCACCAAACCAAAATTGAATCCTCGCCTCCCGATCATGTACAGTCGATATATGAATAAAAATTTCTATTGTTTATTGATTGAAACTTCATCGATATTTCTGAAAGGCGAATAGAAGGGCCGTACGGTATTCGTTCGTCTAATGTAAATTTTAAATATGTTGTGTTTCACGGGTATATCCATTAAAGAAATTAACATTTTAAATATTGTTATTTGATATAACAATCCAAAATTCCTTTGATTTTAAAATTTTGAAATACAATTGAATCTAAGAAAAAAAATGCAAACCTCCTACACACAGAAAGATTCCACTTGATATATATGCTACAGGCTTAACCATTACGTGCTTAGATACTCTCCTGCTGTTCAAAATGAAGACCAGAATGCCGGCCCCGGATAACACAACATTAATGACACAGTTAATCTGAAGACCGATAATACCAAATTCTGAAAATATAATATTTAATTTAATTATATACATGTACATTTATAATAACAACTTTAAAGTATTTTGTATAAAAATATTTCAAATATATTATATTTTTTGTTTTATAACGAACGAAAGAGAAGGGGAGAACCATCACGTGATCTGTCAAGAAAAGATGTCGTCCGACTATTGTCTCCTTCATAAGTCCTTGAGTAGAATATTCCAATCCATGTTGTACTATGTGTTTCCTGTAATAAAAAATACAATTATTTTTCGTATTTAATTGGTAGGAAATGCATTTTTCATTAGTGCCATTTATCATTATATATTTATGACCATTACCTCGTACATTATCCAACCCGGTGTTGCAAATGCAACGATCTTGAACAACAAACCAAGCAGTAAAGCAACAGGAAGAGCTCTGGTTTTAACCATCCTAGTTTCCTCTGAAAAAAAAAACCGCATACAACTCAGCTTTTGGTCAAATAATTGCTACTTTTGAATTTGTTTACAGTGTATTTATATTTTGGGGGATATTTTTTTTTTTGGCCTTTTTGTCTTGGAAATAAATACTCTTGATATTTTCTTGATTTAGCGGCTTTTAGTTCTTTTCTACAAAAGGTGATATAGAAAATACATCGCTAAATGTAAAAGGTCTTCAGTATATATACTCAACAAAGAAAGTTAAGGATTATGAAAACCTGCATTTATAATTTCTACATCGAAAAGGTATATTTAATCAAAATACATAATTACCTCTGTAAAGTTATAACACATTTGACAAAAAAGTAATGGTAAATGTTCACTTGGACAGAAGAACAAGATTAACAAGATGGATACCCTTATTTTTAATGTGAATTTTCATATACAGTAATTGCATAATTTGTTTAATTAAAGACTGACAATTATCCTGACAACTCTCAATACTTGGTGTGGCCTACCCTTGCCTGAATAACAGCCCTGCATCGCCTGGGGAAACTTCGAATTAGTGAACGGATGGTCCTTTGAGGTATCCGATCCCATTCCTCTAACAGAGCAACTTCAAGTTCATTGGTGTTGCATGGGGCAGGGTACCGCTGCTGAATTTGCCTCTGAAGAACATCCCAGGCATATTCAATAGGACTGAGGTCTGGTGACTTCGAAGGCCACTACATTCTCTCGATAATCTCTGCCTCAAGGCATTTACGATGTTTGCTCTGTGTAGCCTGGCGTTATCATCCATCAAAATGAATTGCCTTCCTATTGCCCCAGCAAATGTTCTCACATTTGGCTGAATGATCTCATCTCTGTATCTGACACCGGTCAATACACCATTTCTGATGATGTGGACCCCTGAATAGAAATGCCTCCCCACACCATAACAGAACCATCACCAAAGCGATCATGTTGAGCCACACAGCAGTCGCATGTTGAGTCACAACAGCATTCTTCAGTCTCCACACCCGTCGCCTTCCTTCCTTCATTAAAATCTACACAAAATTTAGATTCATCTGTAAAAATTACCGATCTCAAGTGGCGGATTTCAAATTTGCATGGTCTCTTGCAAACTCCAGCCTCCTTACTCTGTGATCTGCAGTGAAAACTGGGCGTGTGGCATTTCGTCTTGCTTTTAGGTTAACTTCATGAAGCCTATTCCTGCGTGTTTTTGTACAGATGTTTATTCCATGTTATTCCCTTTTTAAAGCAACAGCCGAGTTAAATCGGTTTCGCTTTGCCTGCAGCACAAGTTGGCGGTCCTGTCGGGCCGTCGTATATCGTGGTCTTCCACTCCGAGGCCTTTCCTGGACTGATCCTGTAACCTGATATCTCTGCCACAACCGACCAATGACGCTTTGTGACCGGTTCATCAGTCTTCCCACTGAAGCCTGTGATATTCCAGTTTGTAGCATCCACTTGGTCCTACCGGCTTCCTGTACAGTCAAACGTCTTTTTTGAGGCATAACCTTTAATTCATTTGTGTTTCAAAAATGTTTAATTGTCCTTATTTAGCGTCAGCATGAAATGTTGACAGTATTTCATAAAGCCATGCTTACCAGTTCTACTCTGCAATGCTGACTAGGGTTGATACTTTTTGTTTGGCTTCGAAAACGTGGACTGATAAAGTAGTGAAGTGTAGCAAACAACACGTGTAGTTATGGATAAACATTCACATCAATTTATAATAAATTCCAGAATTGAAATTTCCTCAAATTAACTATATTATACTTAACCCTAAACTTTTTTGTTGTTGAGTATATTACCTTTTGTCATTGTTTTACCTGATATTAACTGATCATTATCAGCCTGTGTTTGTGGTGCAACGAAACGCACAAGAATCATCACAACAGAGAACAGAACCAACAAGAAGCCAAGTCCAGCAATGATTACAGAATAGGCAACGCCATTAGAACATTCCGTTCCATCTAGGAAGTAGCAGCCATAAAATCGACTCAAAAGGACGTGTTCGAAAGTAGCTGTACAATGATATATTTGTAAATATATACAGTATTGTACACTTACTCATAGAATGAATTATATTTCGTTCTTCTTTAGCTGAAAAAAAACTCGTTAATGTCAACTATTTGACGAAGACATTTTAGCACAGTATTCTGACCTGCAATTAGAACTAACACTCCCCCTATGACAGCCCAAAGAATCCGACAGCCGACCCCGCACAGAAGAAGAGAGAGTATGCTGGCAAAATGAATATCAAGGAGGGCTAGAAAAAAATTTCAATAAAAACTCAATAGCTTCTCTTTCTATTAAAAATGTAAGTTCCCTTTTTAATGTTGAAGAAACAGTAAACATTGCCAAAATGAGGAAAGATTGCACTCGTATCATTAATCTCCCCCCGAGTACCTGCACGCAAACATATCCCTCCCCCACACACACACCCTGAGAGAGAGAGAGAGAGATACTTACGCAAACTAAAGGAAAAGGTTGACAGGCAGGCGGTTTCCCGTGAACAGGATACAGTATAAAAGATACTTTGATAGTTATTCTCTGTTGATCCATAAACTAGACTCAAATGAAGTATGTCATTATTAATTCCGATTTTATTATCTTCATTATAATACATGATATACAGTCATCATACAGTATTTGGCATGTCAAACGTTGCAATATCTATATTGTATCATTTTCCATTTGTATGGTATAATTTTTATTATGTCGCCCCGAACGAAGTCGGGCGACATATTGCGATTGTACGCATGAATTTGTTGTCCAGGCTGTTTCTCGGAGATGGCTGGGACAATATTCCTTAAACTTTCCTCAAAGGACGACCACTGGTTGTTGTTGTGTTGTGTGGTAATTCAGTTTCAAATGGCTATTGTTGCCATGGAAACCTGCACAAAGGGAGGAATTTTGTCCACGAGTGTTCTCTCTGGTCCCTTGAACATTCGTCATAAAACTTTTTTTTATTTTAGGGAATAGTAATTGTAGTTGTTGTGCGATTCGCATTTAAAATTTTGAAATAATCGATTATTGCCGTGGAAACCAGGCGAAAGTGAAAATATTTAACTTTGAATTTTAAATCAAAGTACTGAAAGTACTGACGCGAATGGATGGTTGTCCAAGCTTAGCTAATGGGTATTGTTTTAGTGAAACAATAAATGAAAGTCTTGTCCGAAATTATCAATAGTTGCCATGGAAATAGGGGAACAGTTCGTGGCGACATACGCTATTGCTTGCAATTGCAGACTCTCTAGTTAGCCGGGCTTATTGCTCAAAGAGTTATTGGCCGACTTATGCCACCCTTTTCAAGACACCCCCAGAGTCGCCAAATTATTTGTTTTGAATAATTTTCCATTTGATTTGTTTATATAATGATTATTTCCTATCTCTATTGATTAATTAATTATTCTATCGATTAATTTCGTATTTGTATTCAACAATTTTTTTCATTTGTATATTTGTATCTGGTCGATTTAGATTATTTATTTCCGTGCTCTTGCAGGAAAGAATATTTATGTCTAAGATGACCAGAGACAAGAAGAAAAAGAAAATCTCCCTGAACCCCAACATTCCATTTCTTGAGGGGGAGGAGAGTGCTAAGGTACCACCAGTCAAGATCAAATTATTTATTTTCTTTGACAACATTTCAAAGGACATACCGGTATTATTCATTTACAATCTGCCAGCGCTCCTCTTTTACCTTAATCTTAATTTTAATATATCTTTATATACGCAAATACAACCATCAACTCCTATCAGTACTTTCAGTACTTTGATTTAAAAATCAAAATTTAAGAAGTTTAACTTTCCTCTGCTTTCCATGACAATAATCGATTATTTCAAAATTTTAAGTGCGAATAACGCAACTACAAAGTTCTACTAATCAATAAAATAAAAAAGTTTCATCACGAATGTTTAAGAGAGAACACTCATGGACAAAATTCAACGCTTTTTGCAGGTTTTCATGGCAACGGTAGCCATTTTGAAACTGAATGACCACATGGCATTCAACCAACGATAACTACAACCACTGCATCCCTCCTTTGAGGAAAGTTTCAGGAATATTGTCCCAGCCATCTCCGAGAAACAGCCTGGACAACAAAAACATGCTTACAATCGCAATACAAATGGAAAATTGCAATCATTATGTTTGACGTGCCAAGATTGACGGAGTGTTGTGATAGATTCATTTTATGCATTTGTAACCAATAGCTTCTAATTCTAATCTTAATGTGATTTAAATTTACAATTAAAATTGTTTTTTTAATGTTTACAATACATAAAAAAGTATTTTGAATTATTTGCAAGTAAATTAAATATAACTTAAATACCGTTCAGTTTTTGGTAAATTATCCATCCCAGTGTTAAAAGGGCAACTATCCAGGAAAACAAGGCAACTGGTATAGCATAGACGCAGAAGGATAAAACGTACGCTCAACTAGGACCTCAGGTCCCCCGCAAATAGTTCGCCATTTTGCGTAGTAATAAAACATTTTAGGAACTCTTCAGACATAAAAGGCACAAAAGTAAATTCATCGTTATCAATACGGAGACCGTAGGTCACCATATATATTAACTGAATTTTACACGACAGACAGTTTTCTATGTCTTACTCCAAAATAATCATATTTATAATTTTAAAGAGATCTACTTTCTAATATATATATTAGTAGAAACGTGAAAGTAATTAGGGCGACAAGAGGTAACCTTATATTACACATCAGTAGGGAGACCAGTGGTCACCTTATCCTATTGTTATATTGTACATCATAAGAGGGATCATAGGTCACCTTACATTTTAAATTAAAAGGGGCCAAAGATAACACTTTATTGCACATTATAAGGGTGACCTGAGGATATACCTTATATTGTATATCATTTGGGGGACCAGAGGTCACCTTATATTGTACATCAGTACGGGGACCAGTGGTCACCTAATATTTTACTGTACATTAATCAGTAGAGGAAACAAAGATCACCTTAGATTCTGCATCAGTAGGGGACCAAAGGACACCTTATAGTGAACATCAGTAGGGGGACCAGAGGACACCTTATATTGTACATCAGTAGGGGGACCAAAGGTCACCTTATATTGTACATCAGTAGGGGGACCAGTGGTCACATTATAATGTACAGTACATCAGTAGGGAAACCAGAGGTCACCTTATATTATACATCAATAAAGAGACCTGAGGTCAACTTATACTGTATATCAGCAGGGGGACCAGAGGTCACCTTATATTGAACATCAATAAGGAGACCAGAGGTCACCTTATATTGTACATCAATAAGGAGACCAACGTAGGTCACATTATACTGTACATTAGTAGGGGGACCAGAGGTTATCTTATATTGTACATCGGTAGGGGACTAGAGGTCACCTTATATTGAACATCAGTAAGGAGACCCGAGGTCACCTTATATTGTACATCAATAAGAAGACCAGAGGTCAACTTATATTGTACATAAGTAGGGAGGCCAGAGGTCACCTTATATTGTTCATCAGTAGGTGGACCATAGGTCACCTTATATTGTACATCAGTAGGGGATTAGAGGTCACCTTATAACGTACACCTATAAGGAGACCAGATATCCCATTATATTGTTCATCAGTAGGGGGGCCAGAGGACACCTTATATTTTACGTTAACAAAGAGACCAGAGATCACCTTATATTGTACATCAATAAGGAGACCAGAGGTCACTTTATAATGTACAGTACATCAGTAGGGGACTAGAGGTCAACTTATACTGTATATCAGCAGGGGGACCAGAGGTCACCTTATATTGAACTTCAGTAAGGAGACCAGAGGTCACCTTTTATTGAACATCAATAAAAAGACCAAAGGTCACCTTATATTGTACATCAGAAAGGGGACCAGAAGTCACCTTATATTGTCCATCAGCAGGAAGACCAGAGGTCACCTTATATTGTACATCAGTAGGGGGACCAGAAGTCACCTTATATTGTTCATCTGTAGAGGCAGAGGTCACCTTATATTGTACATCAATTAGGAGACCAGAGGTCACCTTATATTGAACATCAATAAGATGACCAGAGGACACATAATATAGAACATCAATTAGAAAACTAGAGGTCACCTCATATTATACATCATAAGGGGACTAGAGGTTACCTTATATTGTACATTAGTAGGGGGACCAGAGGTCACCTCATATTGTTCATCAGTAGGGGGACCAAAGGTCACCTTATATTGTTCATCTGTAGAGGCAGAGGTCACCTTATATTGTACATCAATAAGGAGACCAGAGGTCACCTTATATTTTTCATCAGTAGGGTGACCAGAGGACTACTTATATAGAACATGAATAAGGAGATCAGAGGTCACCTTATATTGTAATCAGTAGGGAGACCAGAGGCCCTTATATTGTCCATCAGTAGAAAGACCAGAGGTCACCTTTTATTGTACATCAGTATGGGGACCAGAGGTCACCTCATATTGTTCATCAGTAGGGGGACCAAAGGTCACCTTATATTGTTCATCTGTAGAGGCAGAGGTCACCTTATATTGTACATCAATAAGGAGACCAGAGGTCACCTTATATTGAACATCAATAAGATGACCAGAGGACACATTATATTGAACATCAATTAGAAGACTAGAGGTAACCTCATATTATACATCATAAGGGGACTAGAGGTTACCTTATATTGTACATTAGTAAGGGGACCAGAGGTCACCTTATATTGTACATCAACATCCGTAGGGGGACCAGAGGTCACCTTATATTGTTCATCAGAAGGGGAACCAGAGGACACCTCATATAGAGCATCAATAAGGAGACCAGAGGTAACCTTATATTGTACATTAACATCAGTAGGGGGACCAGAGGTCACCTTATATTGTTTATCAGTAGGGGGACCAGAGGACACCTTATATAGAACATCAATAAGGAGACCAGAGGTTACCTTATATTGTACATCAATAAGGAGACTAGAGGTCACCTTATACTGTACATCATTAGGGGGACCAGAAGTCACCCTTTTCGAGGGCTATTCAGTAATTAATTAATGTCCTCTGTGCTCGGAAAGAAACAAAAGACGCCTTTCAATAATTTAGTCATAATAATTTAACCTAATATTATCTTTTAATTAAAACACATGTCTGTTACATTTTTTATCCAATTTGTGATTGTTTTTAGTACTCATTTTGGGTATGACCCTTCTTAAACTGGATTATGGCAGATCTTATGATTTTCTGGACTTGTTTCTTCCTCCTGAAAGGCCTTTTTTTACAAGATTGGAAAATGAAACAAGTCAAAAGGAGAAAGATCTGGCGAATATTGTTAATATGAAAGAACATCAATTTTCTGTTTATCCCAAAGACTCCTTAACTCTTTAGGGCGTGCGGGTTTGGACCCTGTCATGAAAAAATGTAATGTAGTGGATTCCTGATTCTCATTAACCTTTTGATTTTTTTTTTTTTTTTTTTTTTGCAAAAAAATTACTTTTTAGATTCATCCAGAAATTAAACTGCCTCCTCGAATACGAATTTGAACAACAAGACCACTAATATTTAAGAAAATTGCATATTAATCTGTCTTTGTGCTCTTGCAATTCTCTGCTTTTCTCAGACCTTTGCTGTTTTTGTCAAATACATCTTATTGTAAATTTTGTTTTGAGGGTTTTAAGCAATAGATTCAAGTTTCATCATCTGTTTGAAATTCAAACAAAAGTGGATAAGTACAATTACTGATATTTTAATAATTGTTTAGAGACAATTGAGCAGGTGGATTTCAATGATGAAAAAATATTGTTCGGTCGCTTTCACTCATTTTTAAAAACATAGTGTGACTTTTGAGTACTAAGCTTTTTTTTTTTACTGTAAAACGTTTCTTTAAAACAGTGTGAACTACTCCCGAAATGATGTCTTTCAAATTTGCTATTTGTCGTATAGTCAATCATACACCATCTGTGATTATTTGTTGAAATTTGGAAAACAGTACATTAGTTGTTTACTTTTTTGTTTGCAATGACGGTATCCATTTTTGATGCTCATTATAATATTTTTTATCATTGAAATCCACCTGCTCAATTGTCTATAAACAGACATTGATTGCTGTACATTTTACATATTTCAGTGAGTATTTCTTTGGGATTCTTAACAAGTTTTACAGCAGCTTTAATGAACGGTTTAATTTCACTCTATAGTTTACTGATTCTTTACCATTCATTTTTAATGCAGTGTCTCGAATACCCTTGTTTTTCAGCTTCTCACAATGAAACTGTGATGAAAAGTGGTCACATAAACTGTTATAAATTCATTAAAGATTCAATAATGAGAGAAAGTCAAGCTTAAGTTAATGCCATATGATATTTGTATTGTATGTCATAGAGATCAGGACATTATTTATTGAACAGTAATTTGTACATCAGTAGTGGGACAAGAGGTCACTTTATGTTGTACATCATTAAAAGTAATGGTCACACTATTTTGAACGACAATGAAGAAACCGCAAGACACTTTATATTTTATATCAATTAGAAGATCAGAGGTCATTTTATATTGTAAGTCAACAGGGAGAACAGAAGACACCATATATTTTACATAAATATTGAGACCAAAGGACTCCTTTTTGGTCACCTGAATCAACTCATGTGACTTTTTGCTATCTGTTTTTTTTTTTTCTGGCGTTGTGCACTGTGCATTGTGCGTTAACATTCGAACATTTTCAGCTTTTCTCTGCAATCTCTCAATCATTTACAACCAATTTTGGCATAAAGCGCATCTATGGGTAAAGGGGAGATTTTTTAAATCATGGTCCCTGCCCTCCACCCCCTAGGGCAAGAAAGTTGGGACGAAACTCCTACAATTCATGAAATCTTTAAAATCTTCTTTACTCATTGACATCAATCCGAATAACTATTGGCATAATTATCATAAGCATTGACTCCTCTACCAAAATTGTGAAATTCATTGTCCCAGGGTCAGGGGCCTTGGGGTTAGGACAGGGCTATAAAAAATTATATCGTGAAATACATTTATTCTTTGAAAATATTTCCCTCTGCCCCTTGATATTAAAAAAACTAACTACATGCATAGATATGATGAGGAAGGATAGTCTCTCCAAAGTTTTGAAATTTGTTACCCAAAGGTCATGGGGTTCTGGTGTTACGGTGGGGCTATATAAATTGTAAAATGAAAATTCATTAATTCTTTTCAAAAAATCTTCCGCTCTGCTCCTGGATATTAATTAAACTAACTACATATTATAGTTTTGATAAGCAGGGGAGCCTCTTACAGAATTATAAATTTCAAGGCCCCTTGCTCATGGGTACCATTGAGGGGTGGGGGCTCTAATTAAATACTGTAATTGAATTAATGCTTTGAAATTTGTTCTTTGGTTTAAACCAAATTTTTATGAACAAGGGTGCCTTTTCCAA